GGGCCGGTTCGTCGGTTCCTCGGTGTCCGAGGCGGCAGTCAGTGTTCCTCTGTCTCACGTGTTACGCGGTGCGAAGCGAAGGATGCGCGGTCAAAGCCGCTTCCGGTGGCCCCGTGACTACCGTCGACGGTTGCCAGTGAACTCGTTGTGACCGTGCGGCCAGTGAGCGATCGATCGGCCGATTTATCCGTCGGCCAAGTCGATGAGACCGGGTCCCAAGCGGTCGCGAGGTGATCGCCGATGTCGCGCGGACGGGCCCAGCGACCTGCTGCCGCTCACCTGGACTACCTGCGTGTACGCTGCACCCTTCCGGATCGCCCGACACCTTCGATCAACGGGATCCAGGGATCCGCCGTTGCGCCGTCGACGAGGGAGGCTCGTGTCACGGCTGACTGTCGACGATCGCTGCCTTCGCGCGCGAGGTAGACGCTTGGATCGCTGGCGATCCGATCGAGCGCCGATTGCTCGGCTCGGTACGATCCGACGCGACTCGTTGCTGGGGATTCCGATCGATAGCGGCATTGGATTTAATGGCTGCCGGTGGACTGAGTGGCTCGGGGGAAAGTTTCCTTCGCGTCCTCCTCTCGGCTCCTTTGTTTTCTGGGAACAGTGGTCGAGTTACAGTGAGATTACGCTTGACCCGATGATGCCATATTGTGAAGGGCTGGCTGGGCTCGCGATGCTGATTGATGGTCTGGCCACGGCGTGGCTTCGACGCGACCACGCTCGCTGAACGATAAACTCGGCGATGCTCCTTGCTTTTCGGATCTCTCTCGCGGATCTGACGCGTAAATTGGGAATTGTGATGTCTGGTGATTCTGCAGTATGTTTCCTTTACGGGGCTCTTTCAGGGGTTCATGACGCTGCCGCGTGGTGAAGGTTTCTAGTGCTGCGTAACGGTGATCGCTTCTTTTCCGATCGTACTCCGCTGGTGTCGTCGCGAGTAGTAGATACCGTGGGAGGGGACATTATCGGCGAGATACGATTCAGAAGGGTGAGTTAGGATTGTCGTTCGGTAAAGGGTTTATTTGCTCTGGGACAGTATTGGCAATCATTGTGAACGGGCTTTGTTTCGGGGAAAATCTGTTGTAAATGATGCGTTCTGTATACGCGGCGTATTCTTTGCGAGCTACGTGGGTAGAATATCTAGAATTTTCGTTCACTGGTGGCATATGATCTTCTGAAAAGGGTGAATAAATTTGCCGAGCAACGGTATCGAGATACTTTCGATATTTCTCGTGGAAGATCAGACGATTGGAATAATAGAAAGTATATTCCTTGATTATCTTGTTTAGAGCTCCATCGCGAACACTACGCGTTTCAAAGGGAATATTCACTGTATCTTAACCAGAGTATGTTTAAGCTCTCCGTTTCCACGGTTATTACCACGAAAATTGCACAAACATCGCGCATTATTCTAATCTGATAGAAAATTCCAACGTTAATTAAAATCAGGATTATACAGCGCCGTCCAGCTAATGTAAATGCGGCGTTCGCGATTAAGCGGTTGAAGATAGAAGAATTCCGTGTAGTTCGCATATTATTGCACAGACGAACGTCTCATCGCAGCTTAGATAAGTTCGAAATGCTCCATAACGAAGACTTCGATTCCGAGTTAACTCCCCATACGATTCCTTTAATAACTGCTAAGGTAACTTCGTCATTAATAACTTACTCGAAAGCAATCTAAGAGCTGTTAATAATAAAGAAAAATACTTAATAAAAGAGTTCTTAATTTCTGCCCAAATTAACGCGATGGCATTCAATCTTTCTAACTTCGATTCGAAAATGTCCTCATTAATCTGACTCGGTATCGTACGGCAAGAGGTTAATTAAAATTCTGAATTAAAATTCTCCACGATACAAACGGAAAACTGCGTCGACCGCAGGTTCGAATATAAAATTGCCCAAACGCCGTTCGTCGCAGAAGTCGTTCTCGCCGGCGAGCGATTTCGGTGGATTTCGGTGGATAAATGGCCGGCGACACGGCGAAACCCTGAACCGATTATTAATTCAGGATATCGCGGTGTCCCCGGGCGGCGAGTATAAACGGTCCCGCACGACAATTAAAAGTTCAAGCGAAGAAAGTGGTGGTCAGGCGCGCGATCAATTATTCGTGGGAACGTTCCGGCCGTTCCAAATGAAATCTCGGCCGTATTAATACCGCGTTTAATCTTGACACTGACGGGGCGAGGCCTTGATCTTCTCCGGCGTTGAATAATTGACGCGACAACGCGCCGGAAAATTCGTAAATAAACCGTCGGCCCCGTTAATTAGACTTTCATCGGACAGAGACGAACTTGAACGGCGTCGTTTATTTTTATTGTTCACCGATCACCGGACATTTTAATTAATCACCCACCCGGAACACCGGCCGACCGTTTATTCAATTTGTATTCGATAATTGGCGCACGGCTTTTCCTTCTTTTCGCTTAATCGGTTAGATCTCGATCGCTCCTGCGGCGAGGTTACACTATCGTCGTGCGTTAACACGGTACAGCTCTCTGCTCCCTTGACGCCCTTGCAGGGTACATTTTCCAGCGTTCCAGAGACGACACAATTTATATATCCACTTTTTGAACTCAGATTTCTGAAATTTAACGCTCGAACTACCGAGCACTTAAACCGTCTGGTATAAATTTCTGTGTAAAAGCTAAAAGCGTGGATTTATTGAGACTTTAATCGGTTTATATTTTAGGTGTTGCTGAATCAGATTATTTAAACATTTCTTAAAGTGCCTGTACCTTTGTGATAATTGTAAAATGAGAAGTTAGTGTTAAGGAAGTCTGATGTTAAATATTACTACATATATATTTCTTATCCGCCTAGTTGTTATATAGACTTCTTCACATTTTCATTGTTATTTATTATATAAATAAAGAGAGCTCGGTTTGTTATAGACAAGGTATCTCGTGACCCATGCGCAATGTGTAACTCGGAATTTCTAAGAGTTCGAAAATTCAGCGGTATTTATGCCGAGGAAACAGTAATACCGTTGGATTAGTCGCGCGAGGAATAACAACGGAGAAAACAATTGTTTCCTGTAACGTCCGCGATAATGAAAGTTATATAGCCAGCGAAAATTCTCGATTAAAATTATGCTTCCCGTCGAAACGAGTTGCTGCGGCTATAATGATTATAATATAGTGGAGCACGCTTCGCCGAACAAACGAACTATTTTATTCCGAAACTGCGCCGGGGACGTCACGGTTTAATCAGCTCAAACGTAAGAGCGGATAAAAATATTATTCCTCCGGTTTCTAATTATCCTGCGTCGCAATTCGACGTCGAAGCGCGATGGGCGTTGCTAAATTAAATCAGGAAATTATCATTGTTCCTGTTTTCTCGGTCGTTACGACCCGCACGAAACGCTTTATTCAAATTTCCCGCGCAACTTCCTCGTCTTGCAATCCTTCAACCCATTCGTGAGCGTTCGGAGTTTGAATTATCGACGGTCTGTTGTTTTAGCTAGGTTAAATTTCCTTGTAAACAAAGCTCGGTGTGCATCCCTCTCCGTGCTCTCGAATTTTCCGTCTAAATTCGAAATTTCTGACTAATTTCCTTGTGTGCGTTCATCATTGAGACGATTTGAAACGAAGAAGCGGATGGGTGAAACATTGTTTAATTTCTTAGTGTTTCCACCGTATTACTGTCGAGTTCGTTCTCAATTTACGTTTACCATCAACAGACGCGACGTTAAAATATTGCGCTTTATGCCTCGGGTTAGGGGAAAAGTGGAGATATTTTATTTCGTGTTCGCAAATGTCTTTTTCTTTAAATTGAACCCGCGTCTCTTTCCAGCTGAAACACCGAAAACACTTCGCTTCGCCGGCGAGCGCGCTTTGTGCACGCTAACGGTATAGTCCGCTCGGTTCGCGAAAAAAGAATTTCTTCCCGCCACGTTGTAATTAATTTCTGAGAGCAACAAACGCGGGTTCCCTGTTTCGAGTCGATCTTAATGTAGATCTCCAGCGGTTTGAAGAAACTCGCGGCGGTTTGCGACTTATCGTGAATGAACCCTTTAACACGTTGAATGCCATGGGGGTCACCGGTGACCTCAACCAAATCGAATTACTATAATTCATTCGACTAAACGATGATTATTTGAAAACTCTCCTATATTGTAAGTAATACTACTTAATGCACTGACATTCAACAATTCAAGCCTGCAATGATAACCTAATTCAACTATATAAGTTGATATCACGTTATCTTCATTTTGTATATTTTTCTCGACAAAATCGTGCGGCACTCAACGTGTCAATGGACGTGTCATGTAGCATGTACAGAATCGGAGTGAACCTTCTTCGTACATTTAAGATCACAAAATGTGATTTACGTTTTCTATATAAACGTGAAGCTTTTGAAATGGCAACAATATTGTGTTAACCCTTAATAATCGAAAGCCTCCATTATACAAAATTATAAAAGATGTTACTTCCATTTATTACATTTGCTATCATTTGAAATATATATTCCGATTTATCGCAGATAAAATTCTACGAATGCTTCCTCCGGATTTGGCCAGTATTCTGTTATTCAGTAAGTGGATACTACGAAAAAATGATCCATCATTAAGGGCTCGTAATGAAATGAAAACAATAGTAATAATTAACCTGAAGCTCGTTAACAGTATTGCGCATGCAGTCAGTTCGGGCGTTAATGAATTAAGGCACGTCAGTTTCGTTACGTAAAGCGATTAGCCTTCGATGGAATTGCCGTGTATTCAGCGGAGATTTTAGGAAAATTTCATTGGTAATGGCCGATGGGTCTTGCTACCGTGCGGCCGGCTAGTATCGATGTATCGGGGATACATTAACTTTAATGAACCCCCGGCCACAAATAACGATTCGCGTACTCCGTGCTCCCCGATCGCGTGACAATTCGTTTTAAAATTTTCAAACCGGCCGCCAGGAAAACGGACCCTTGCCTTAGGTAATCGAAGCTTATCGGCCGCCTGTTGTTCTCTTGTTACGTCACCGTTCGCCGTCTAGATGTAGTCCGAACGATAATACTTAACCCCCCTGTGAACAAGGAATTTCGAAAGTGTTCAACATTTTCACAGGAGAACGTGAAATCATGTGTTGAAATTTTCAAGAGAAAAACAAGTAAGAGCGAAACTTTAAAGGACACTGTATATTGATCTTTTGTTGGTAGAATAATTAAGTTACTAGCTCGCGTTACTTGGTAACATTCCCGAACAGCGAGAGTCGAAAAAATGTTCAATTAATAAGGGGTTGTAAAAATTTAAGAGGCTTTAATGGTAGACGTGGTGTAATCAGCGTAGTATCCTAATTTCTTGAATAATTTATGATTAATAATCTCACGCGGCGGCACGGTAAAAATGGTGAAATGATAAACAGTGTAAATTAGTCTCTTAATCAGTAGCCTTCTCGTAAGTATCTGATAGGGTTCATTGAGA